GTGATGCTGTTTCTATTACTGAAGGCTGGGGCCAGTTTCACACCGGAATTAGTTGCCAGGGTGAAGGCCGCCATCCGTCAGAGACTGAGCAGCCGTCATGTTCCGAGCTTTATCTTCGAGACTGCTGAAATTCCGGTACGTACCTATCTAGACGTGTGATTATGAAGTGGCATAAATCGTCGCCACTAACGATTCACTGCCAGGTCACTGTCAACGGAAAGAAGGTGGAGCTCCCGGTCAAGCAGATCGTATCGGGTAAGCGGATCAAGCCATCTGGCACACTACTCAATCCTGGGTGTCTGGAGTATTATTATCAGTTCGCTCAGGATGAGCGGTTGGTCACTGCGCGGGATAGTAAGCTGTGAAGCCGATGAGAATGTATTTACCTACATGGAATGAGCGGGGCTTACTGTATTTTGTATTGTTACTGTTACACGAAACCTTCAAGACAGTGAAAGATGAAACGCATCACTAAGGATTACTGATAAAAGGAATATGCGTGAAGCCAACAGTCATGTAACCTGATATATGAAAAATACCATAGCCGCTAAGCGGAACAGCCGCCTTACAACCCTGAGCACAAGGAGGAGATGGCCCGCTCTAAGGCTACAGAGCAAACGGCAACAGCTCGAGTCAATGTAGGTTAATGTTTCAAAATGCGGGCTAGAATCCATACGAACACTGCTTTAAAGTAAGCTGAATTTCCTGGCTGGCTAAGATATGGCCTCTTGATTTGGCATGCGAGATTTGACAAAATCAACATAGTCAAAGAAGCTTCTTTTATACGAACGCTCCTGGGTGGACGGGTTGACTGTTTGAAGGCCAAATTTTGCCTCGTATGTTCCGAACCTAGAAGAATAAGGTCAGCACTCATTCCAAGAACAACGGACTCGCGGAATATCTCATTCTTACTCCCAGTCATCGATCAATGTCCACACAAAAGCACCTATGATATTACATCCATCTAGCCAGATGCTCTCTAGCATCTCCGTGAGAACACTGGTGATAAACAAGGAGCTAGGAACATCAAATCGTGCATCATCAAGATCCTTTTCCGAGTCACCCGTGTTGCTAAAGCCAAATTCCGTGAGAATGAAAGGCTTTTTGTAAGTCCGGTCAATATAGTTGAAGAAGGCACGGAAGAAGCCCGTGGAGAAAGTATTGCCGCCAGCCACGGAGCCGTATCCCACTGTCCATCCTGCATTCGTCATATCCGCCAAATCAACCCCAATGCAAGCTCCTGACATTGGTGTACATTTCAACTTTGACGAAGGTGTGAAGTTCCCAGGTTTGGGCAATGCGATTACGCCGGCGTACATATCCAAGCCGATGAAGTCAATGCTGCCTCCAATATGTTTCAGCTCCTCTTTTGTTAAAGACGTAACATTGGCAATGGACGTTTTGTAGATGGATGGATAATCTTCGCCCAGGCAAAGTGGCCGATAAATGGTCCCTGTCCAAAAGTCGTTGAAGTTGTTTGCTGCTTGGACGTGCGACGCATTGCTAGGATCCAAGGGAGCAGAAAAGTAGTCAAACTGCTTCATTCCAATCATGCCTTTTCCCTGATATGTCTCATGATACCAATGCCAGACATCAGCATGGCAGTTGATCACATTTCTAACCCCCTGGGCATTGTTTGTATGAGCCATAGGCTCATTAAACGTGATCCAGTGTGAAACCCGGTCGCCGTACAGGGATATCGCCAGCTTCGCGTAATGCAGGTAGGCATCCGGAAAAGTAAAATTATCGTATCCACCGCGCCACCCGCCTATCTGAAAATCGAGGTCAACAGAGTCCCGGACGAAGGCATACGGTGTGTCAAAGTGGAGGAGCGTGATCACTGGCTTCAGTCCTGCGTTGATCGCGGAGTTGATCACGTCATCATAATGATCAACTCCGCGCTGGTTGACGGGGGTATGGGGGAAAATGAATGGTAAGATCCGGGACCAGGAGATGGTGAAGCTAAAATATTCAGCCCCGATTGCTGCCATACGCTCGATATCTTGCTTGTAGAGGTAGTAGTGCTCGTTGGCAACGTAGTTGGTGGCTCCACTCGTGCCCCCCCTCAAAATTGTTTCACTAATAGTCGGTGTTCGTCCTTCCAATGCGATCGCACCTTCTTGCTGACTGGCAGATATGGCGACCCCAAACATGAATTTTTCGGGAAACTTAAATTCATAGCAATCCTTTCCGGAGAAAGGTAGGGGCGGAGGTAGAACCAATTCGGAAGATGGGACGGGGGTCGCCGCGACCGTTGTGGTATACATGCCAACCGTAGTGTAATTGAGCAAGCTTGCTGCTAGCCAGGACGACGTCCACTCCGCTTCACCAAAGGGATCATTGTCATTTGCACGCTGGGTCGCTGTAGCAGTGTTCCCGGGCTCGAAATCCCCCCATGTCGTTGTTGTCAAAGGGGGGAGTAAGCCGCTGACCTCGGAGTACGGCCGCCCATAAGCCGGAGTCACAGTAGGCTTTGAGACAGATTGGGCATAGCTGTCAGCTTGTCAGAATTCAAGATCGATATCAGAAGGGAATCGTCACGGGGTGTAGCTCCTACCGCCACGTCTGTGTCATAACGAAAGAAGACAGGCGGTGATGATGAATTTGTGATTCAGGCGTGGCTGCAGCCTGCGTGTTTTCTAGGCAGTGAGACCTCGATCCCGTTCCATTCGTTTCTATCCACACATACTGGGCTGTTGTAATGGTCAAAGACCAAAGTCCATAGCCTAGAAGTCTGGTGAGATTAACCATGGTCTTCAATAATGCCAAATGATGAAGCAAAGCACCCTTTCTCGCCAAACAGCTGTGCTTTATATAGTCTGGTATTTTCCAGATACCCCTTATCTATTTATAATGATATATCTATCTCTTATGGGGTCGTGTTATCCGGAGAGGCTGTATCCGGCTGTGAGGTCAGATTGAGGTCCGGAACTGGATACTTATCTCTGGCCATCGGGTGAAAACTGATGATAACCGCACTTGCTATCCGAGTAATGCGGCAGTATGGTTGTTTGGTTGTTTAGTAACTGTCAATACGAAAATTGTTGATCCGTTAAGGTTTACATTACATAGACTAAACTTCATTGATACCGACAAAATCTATACAAGAACCTAGATGCTTACCTACATATTACATACTAATACAATAGAAACGGTGGGGATGGATTTGGGCCACTCCTATGTCACTGTAATTAATAATGAAATAAATGACCCCTCCAACTTTTCGCCTAGCGAAGAGCTTAATCAAGATCTACTGTGAGATCTGTCATGCAGAAAGTCATATTTGCCGGTATAAGGCCGAGTTACGGAAAAGTCTTCAAATGTGCAGGGGCTTACCACTTTTATGCCGAAAAATTTGCGATAGTTAACGGTAATGTAATGGGGACATTGTAGCGGGAACGACATATCCGCAGATGATACTGACTCGGGTCTCGGCTCAAGTTTCTTGTGATAAGCAGTCCTTCCTAATTTATTGCACAGCCCAGGGCAAAAATCGTCTGGCTATTCAGATAGTGGTCGATATTCCCAAGCGTTTCCAGTCGTCATCCTTTCTACTCTGTTTTCTATATGCCGTTCCTTATCTCCTGATATTTCCCCGACAATTTTCCTACGCGATATGGAGAAATCTCCAAAGGTCTACAATGATACCACTGAACGCTGTTCAAAAGATGGCGGGCCGAGAGGATGGGTGCAATGTGGACTAGCCTGGCTGGTAACGTTTTCGACATGGGGCTTGGCAAACTCATCTGGTGCCTTTCAATCCTACTACGAGACCCAAATGCCCCGAGAGTTCCTCAACAATCTCTTAGATAGGCTCAATTCATGTCGGCCTGCTTTTTCTGTTTGGCTCTGTGTCCGGTTTTGATTGCAGGTGTATCACTCCACTTGGTGAGCATTTCCACAGCCACTGTATCACAGCTGGTCTTCTGGAAACTACTCCTTTCGCAGGGTATTTGTATGGGAATTGGGAGCGGCCTTCTCTTCTGCCCTTTTTTCGCGATGGTTGGGACTTACTTTACGGAATGACGTGCATTAGCAATGAGCTTATTTACCACTGCTAAGTCCGTTGGTAGCGCCGTCTATCCTCTGGTAATCCAGAGGCTTCTGGATGAAATCGGATCCAATTGGACGATGCGCACGATTGGCTATCTCAACTTTACTTTGCGCCTACTTGCCACTATGTTCATGCGTCCGCAAAGACAATCATCATTCGCGAGGCCTTTAAAATTGCTTGAAGTTTTCATGCTTCGGGCGGATTGATGGTTTTACTTTTTTGATCGGAATAAGTGGCGCATTCACAGCGTATTGCTTCACAATTTACTACGTGAGTGCATGTGGCCTTCTCCGTACTTGTTTGACCCGAGTATCAAGGAATACTGACACAGTAGTTTCAGATAATTTCGTTCAGTGAGATTGTTGGTAGTTCAGAGCTATGGTGATGCCACTCATTTACTTGCTATCATGCATGGTATTGGGGTTCCAGCCCGCGTACTCTGTGGGTACTTGACAGACAGATATGTGGGATTGTGGAACTCCATGACACTGCTTCATCTTTGCAATGTAATTATCCCCTTCTCGTGGATGGCAGTACACAGCTCGGGTGGAATTTATGCTTTCATCTGCATTTATGGCTTAGTCCAGGCAGCTTGGCAGTCCATCTTCGCCGCAGCCGCCATGAGCTTTTCCCGCCAAGCCGGGGACTCTGGTGCATGCATCGGCATCGCATTCATGGCAGTAGGCTCTGCAATGCTGGTAGGTAGCCCTATCGGTGGCGCCCTCATATCTTCCCACATAAAGGACTTCTTGGATGCCCAGGCGTGGGCAGCTGCCAGTACAACATTAGGATTCATCATGGTGGGAGTAACTAGGGTCCTGAGATTGGGAGTCACGCCAATTTTAAGATGTTGATTCAGCCCCCACAGGGTTCTTGATTTTCCTCCCTGTATCAGAAGCCCTGTGATAAGTTTTCCGCTAGAAATGCCTTGATGTCTTCTTCCGCAATGGCAGACTGCATTGTCTCAAAGTCGACGTTCGTAAAATTGAAACTCAATGACGATTCATCAAAACTGGCTTTGTCGATCTCCAGGGGGTTTTATAGTGACTCATGGTGCTTCTGCAACGATAGTTGAAAATCAGGGGAATAACTCCATCGCAAAGGTAGTGCTTTAAGTACACCCCATCGGGTAGCCAGGCCTTGAAGGAAATATATGGCATGACTGGCTTGTTGCTGCCAAGTCTGCTGCATTTCTTCGAGGCTCCCGAGGGATATTTTTAGGCGACGGGCGGCACGCCGCTCAAGGGTTGGATCAGTAGAAGTGGCAAGCGAGATCAAAAATACCGAGGAGCGGACGACATAGTATACAATCATCGCAGGGCATTTGACAAGTTGATTGGTTTTCCGATACTGAAAGAGAATATCGGTCATGATGAATGCGGATCGAAACATCTCCTGGAGTAATAGTGATACTTGCTGGTCATTTGTTCTGTCGAGAAATGGAAGAAGCAGAACAATTGGCGAGGTTACAATGGCCATGTGCAGGAAATAAATAAAGGGATGATGATCCGTGAATTTGGACGAATCGAGGTTTAGGCGAGGGTTTACAGAGCTCCGCATATTCATAAGCGTCTGACGGCAATTGAAAAGTGAAGCCTGTCGTTAGGCCTCTTGCCGAGTGCTGAACTGAGGGGAGTAAACAGCGTACATATAATACCCCTGGTACTGCCATATGGACCATAAGTGGTCGAAATATAGCCCCTCGATGGTCATTGTTTCTAGCCCCACCGATCGAATAGAGACGCATAGCGAGGGATGCAAATTCTCTGCCATGGAATCGTCGATGGAGTACCGTAAACCGCCGTGCAGATGCGGTAGACATGCGAAAAGGCCCAAAGAGCGGCCACTTGGGTGCGATGGTATGGCGTGTGGCGAGTTTTTGAAATGAATAATTCTGTCCAGTCAAACATCCCCAGCTGTTGGAGCAACCCAGCCGCCAGGGAGATAAACAAGCAAGCACGGGTTTTATTACCGGCTACAGTCAACTCACGCCAGGCAAAAATAGTCAGCACTTGGAGCAGGTTCAGCGATGATCCAGGAATTCCGGACGCTCTCAGAATCCATAGCTCCGCAAACTTGAGACACGACGTCGCCTGCTTCTAGGTCCCCTCCAACTACGGTTGCAGCTGAGATCACTGCTAGGACAAGCAGCACCGAATCTAGCCGCTGGCTGAGAGACAGGTCCAATGCCAGAAGACAGTCCTCCTCCAGGAGATGCTCATAAGCATTGATTTCGGTAATAAAGCATCGATATTTCGCTTTTCTATAAGCAATCTCGTAGACAAACGATGGCCATACGGGCACAGAAGGGCTCAGGCCGGTCGAATTCGAACGTGTGGGTAGATAAAGCCGGTTTCTAGACGAAAGATACTAGTTGACCCTATTGCACTGGGAAACACTTTTCGCTGGCCCCACTGGCTGACTTCACGCGTCGCTTCCGAAGTCCAGTTCACAGATACAGAGCCGCCTGTTCGAACACTATCGGAACTCTGTAGAGCATTCTGTTCTTGTTGCGAAGCTTCTAAGGTGGTAGTGAGGGGTTGCTGTTCGGTTAGTGCTTGGACTAAGGATCTTAGATGTTCAATCTCCGATTGCATGTTTTGGATCTGGATGCGCTGAGAAGACGGCCGCCGTGCTCCATACACACACGGTGTCAAATGCTGCTGACACAAGCCACAGGCTGGCTGACCTCCATCACACTAACCTCATTAGCGATTTCTTTTCTTTTCTTTTCTTTTCTTTTTTTTTTTT